TGCACATTTTCTTCCCATTGAATCCGGTAGACATAAAGGCATTTTGAAGGAAAACAGGCTATGTAATCTCCATGAATGCAATGAAGTAGGTGATGAGAAACATTACATTTTATATTGTAATAATTGTCAAATCAAAGAACAAAGATCTAGATTCCTTGCAGCTTTATGCATCTATGCCCCAAAGCTGGAAGATTTTAGCATGGATGAATTATTTCCTATTATTGTTTCAAGTAATGATTTTTTCATTCTTAGCATTTTTGCAAAATTTATTTTCTATATTCTTGATATGTTTTAATACTGTAAGTTTTTGTTGTTCTGAATGTTTTGTTTTGTTATTTTTTTTTTTTGGACTTTACTCAAGATTTCATTGGTACGTTCCAAATAAAAAATAAATTCTATCTATCTATCTATAGGACATCACTATTTCTAATCTGGTTTAACTAGCCTTTTGTACTGTCTGACAGATAGTGTGACCTGTACTAAGCTGATTGTCAAATACCATAGCTTTCTTTGTATTGCATATTAAGACATGGAAATGTGTAATGTGGGGGTGTGTAAATCGACATTTTATGACATTTGTCACTTTATGTGTGTGCGAGGAAGAGCATTTATTTCATCTCATTATTTGTATGTGGTTACTACTTATGTTTTATTCTAGTGTTTAAAATTCATAAATAAAATTGATAAAGCAGAAGCCAAACAGATTTCTATAATTACTCTGCATTAGGTTGGAGAGGGGGGGGGGGTACATTGTCAGATCAGTTCTGTAGATAAATCTTGTATAGAGCATATCTTATTCAAGATAGCAACAAAGATCACTATGGTGATATCACGTCCTCACTGATCAATGTAACGATATATTTTTCTATACATATTATTATTACTGGGATGATGTTTACAATATATCTTCATTATTCGTTACAACACTTTAATATCCCTAGAGGAAAGAAAAAACAAACTTGCAATTATTTTAAGTTTTTTTAACAGGCCATTAATTTAGAAGTATAATTCTGGCCTGTATTGCAAATATTTTGCTTGTATTGACCTTTCTATCGAACAAAACATTATTTATAGTATGGCTGCATTTAATTTAAATAATGACCTTGATTAAAATTGCTGATAGTACCTGCGTTATTCAATTTGAAATAATTGTTGGTTCAGTAATGTCAAATTTTAAATAAATGCTTTGTGTTGTTGCCGAAATTAATATAAATAAAAATATACAAAATTAATATTGTTATAGAATAAATGTGACCTTTTTGGTGTTAATATTATTACACAGGTGTTTGTTATGATTTTTTTTTTTGATGTGATGCATCACAATTTTAATTTTTAAAATACCTTTGTGGGAAAAAAATTTGATTCAAGAGATATTATCAGTATTTTTATACCAGACATCTTGGCAACCTTATTTTAAATCCTGTGCTTATTAATGAGATGTTGTTTTGGCCTGGTATCAAATATCATAGTGGCTGCACCTGTGTCTTGTCTACAAGCTTATTTTATGACAGTCACGCTTGTAATACAAATTAATTATTCACTGCGCAATGATGTGTATTGCTAGCTGAGAGAATTTAAATTCTCATTTCTAGAATCCTTTGCACATGTTGTTCATATTTATTATGCCAGTCTTTTGTGTCATTTTTGTACCCCGATTATTTGATGACATCTGCCCAATAGTCACCAGCTGAGCAACTAATATATTGTTTTGCATATTAGTGTTAATATATTCGCTAATAAAATTGCCATTATAACTTAAAGTACTGTAGAATACTTTATTTTCGCTTGGAATTTATTTTCGCTATTTTTGCTGAAAGGATGATTCCGTGAATAAAATTCAGCGAATATACATTTTTTCCTATATTTCTATATAAACTCATCAAAAATCAGTGAAAATATATTCCATACAAAACGTCCAAAAAGCTTTTTCAGCCAAAATTAATTCCAGCGAAAATAAAGTATTCCACAGTATTGTATAAACTATATTCATCATGAACTATAGACTCAATTGACCACACTGTAGTCCTACAAGGTGAAGATTAATTATGTGAAAAGTGAGGAGGAGGTGATATTAATGGAATAATTTGCTTATTAGAGTAAATATGTTTGGATGTTTATTGCGTGTGGTATATCTGACATTCTCCTCAGTATCGATGAATCGGGTCTTGGTTTAGTAGTGATAAGTGATCGATTTCAAGTGATAAGCGATCAATTTGGTAGTGATAAGCGATCAATTTGGTAGTGATAAGCGATCAATTTGGTTGTTAGTGCATGGTTATGTAATGTAAAATGTAATTTATTAATAGACAATTAAACATTCAGTGATGTCATCAATAACTTTTGATGAACTGATTACATCTCAGAAGTTATTGAGTAACTATTTTTTGTTATAAATGTGTTTTATTATATTGATAAATACATTGTGGACATCTTTTTAAAGGTTGATGAAGGTCATTTGTCATTAATGGTGACCTTCAAAATATACAGATTGTGTTTTAATGAGACCTGTGAACAAGTCATTAAAAACATATTGTATGTGATTTAATGATATTAGGGAAAGAAAATGATTAGACAGCCCATAGACATTAGAAATAAGGTCCACAAGACAACTGTAATGAACAGTTTATTGACCCTATGACCCTGAATATAATAAATGTCATGTGATGTTTTGCAGACATCACCTATTACTAGGTATGTAGGGTGTGCCAATGATTGCTGATAGCCTTGATTAGGTGACATGTGTTGGCAAATGTATTGTTATAATATAAATGTTCAGTAAATCATGTTATTGTTTTATATTAAACCTTGTTATGTTTACAATGTTGTTTATAATATGTTAATATTGACTGCAAAAATAATGCAAATAAAATTGTCAATATTTTCCCAATTGCGCAACATTTTCAGTTGATAATTTTGATAAATTGGTGAAGTATAAATGAATAACATCTGTTTAGTAGGGGTATTTATATTTAGATTTTTGTAGTTATTTTGAGGTCAGAGTTGAAATTAAAACAGGTGCCTGTAGGTTTGTACAATGACTGTATTTATAAAGTTCATTTGGTTATAGGACATCTCATTTTAGATATTACCGGTAATAATAATGTTGGTTTTGGATCATTGGCAGCTTCCATTGTTAATTTTTTTACTAAAATAGTTGCATTTGTAGATAGATTACTGTATTGTACACATTCGTCAGATACATGTAAATACCCCTGGTTTAGGGGATGTTTTGTACTGAAGTAATCCTGTGTTGGCTGTTCACATCACTGTCATCCCGCCCTTTCTCTTGTTACATGCACACCATGTACATGTTTGACATGTACATGTATACACTGTATCTACAGAATGCATACAATTTTAAGGTTTTTGTCAAATTTATGCATGTCAGTGCATAAAAAGTTTCTAACTATATTTGTAATGGAGGATGGTTTAACAATTGTAGCTCATTGTATATTATCATAGGAAATAGGGGCACGAGTTGATAGACAATTACCAATACATGGCCACTGCCATTTAACCAATGTCATTATACCGACACAATACAATACACTTGTCATATTGTCAACATTATCCAATACAAGTTATTTGTTTGACCTTTGAATCACCTCTGTTATATAGTCGACTTTAGATGACTGGGAAGATGCACCCCCCCCCCCCCAGCAATTTTATATTTTGAGTTAAAGGGTCATTGGCTGCAACATTGTATAAAACAGCTACCCTGGTACTACCTAATGGAGAGCATGAATGAAACCCAGTTTATTTGTGTTTTAAGTAATAGAATCCTGCAAATAGTGTTGCCATTAAAAACAAACACTGACATGCATTAAATAAACACAACTTAATATTATGGTATTATTTCTTATTACCATTATACTGTTGATTTTGCTTCATACTGTATTAATCCCATAGTTGGCACACACTAAATTGTAACAAGTAAATCAAAGCCCAAGGGATGAACATGCCAATTATAGACATACAGCTGTGTACTGCAATCTGTTATGACTGCATTTGATAGTGAGGGCATTTGTGAATATTAGTCATTCTGCTTTTTCACTACTCTAAGTGAAAAGTTGTTTCTCATGAAATAAAAGCAGTATAATTGACTATGGTTTTAAAGTGAAATACTGTGATATACCAAACCATTATTTGCAGCTGCTATTCACTGCGGATACTCTTTAAAGTTGTAAAGCTCTTTAAACTTAACCAAAAATCAAATCTGAAAGTTATGGTATTTGAGTTATATGATCAAAACCTGAAAAAATATATTGTCTTTCTATATTGTCTTTACTATGATAAATCGCACAATGCAATGCCATTTCAAATTCAGATGCTCACTATTATAGTTGTATTAATCATAATTCTTTTTTTTTCATATAAACATTGACATACCTACAAAAAAAAATAATACCTACAATGTAGCTCTGGACCTTATTAAAGTTTTTGACTAAATCACAACAGGCTTTATTCCATTCCACTCGTAGTCATGCGTCACAACTGCTTGAGTATGGCAGAATGTATCTGCTATTCTGGTGTAAATTCACATTTACTGTACTATCTGTGATTAAACTGACAATGTGGCAACAATTCAATACACAAACAGTAGCAATGATTTAATAATTTTGTGTCCCTTGCACATAAGTTTGCATCTCTGTCAAAAGAAAAACCTGTGTTTATACACTGCCTACCACTATAAAGTACAATTATAATTAAATTTTGTATTAACCTGCCAAACCTAAACAATCTTGTCTTGTGTCATCCCCAATTGCTCATCATCAAAAGAAACAAAATATAATGAAAATATTTTATTGCACTTTTTTTAAAGCTGGTTCACACACAATGTGTTTACTATTTGGTGGCCCTGAAAAGACCTGTTTGTTGGTCCCCGTTCTGACACGGTTCGAAAACAGGGACTTGTGGTTTGACCTGTGTGCGTCTACAGTGTGCATCCATGTGTGTGTGCAACCGTCATGATCTGATTCAAGATGGCTGAATGGCTAAACCATTTATGGATAGATTTCGTTCAAACTTGGTGCATATGTAGGACATTATGGGACCTTGATGCACGTCATTTTATTTTTCAAATTTTATTCAAAAAGAAAAAAGAAAAAAAAGGTGTTGTTTTCTGTGCTTGTGCTTGTTTTACTGAATGTGATTCTAGAGCTGAATCTCTGACATGATTTGACTGATTATGTTAAAATTTTATATAATATTCTACATCATGTTATAGATATTCAGATGTATTCAAAATGGATGACTGGTGGCTATTTTGTTTCAATAAATGCTGTTCCACAGCAATATCTCTCAATATGGACAAGTACTCGTTTGATGATCAGATACAAGATGACTGAATGTCAATCATTTCAGTGTTAAAAAATCACCACAATCAAGCGTCAGCTTCTTGATCCATCTCTCTGACATGTTCATGTTTGAACTTTATTACTATAAACAAAATTATGTATCTTAGGTTTGATAACTAACTGGGACTGTGCCATGCATATCTTGTTTTGTATAGTATAGTATACATCATATAGTGTACCTGGAACAATCTTGGTTAAAGGTGATCTTGGTGCGTGCGAACACATACATCGTACATGATATTATACATATGCACATCAATTTGTTTCACGATCTGATTCAAGATGGCCGAATGGCAGCCATTTTTGTGCTAAAAGATTATCAAAATCAAGCATTTCTCGGCTGTTTACAGATGGATTTTGTTCAAACTTGGTATATACATTAGACATTATGGGACCTTGATGCAAATAATTATGCTTTTCAGCTAAGATTCAAAATGGCCAACTGGCGGCCATTTTGTTTTAATGAATGTGTGAATGTGGTTCTCGTGTCATATCTCTGACTTGCTTTGACTGATTATGTTCAAATTTAAATATTCATTATACATCATGTCATAGATATACAGATATATTGGTTTGACGATCCTATGCAAAATGGCCAAATGGTCGCCATTTTTGTGCTAAAAAATCAAGCATGTTTCTTGCATTTAGGATGGATTTTGTTCAAACTTATAACATGCATTAGACATTACGGATTCATTTTATTTTTCAGATTGGCTTCAAAATGGCTGACGGGTGGCCATTTTGTTTTAATGATTAGACTTCTAGAGCCATATCTCTGACATGTTTTGGCTGATTATGTTCAAATTTTATACATCATGTTATAGATATATATATATATATATATATATTCAATATGGCTGATTTTGTTTTAATTAATGCTGTTCCAGAGCAATATCTCTCAATATGGTACTTGTTTGACAGTCAGATACAAATGTCAATCATTTTAATGTTAAAAAATCATATTCCTGACATGGTTATACTCCAGCTATATTACTATAAACAAAACTATATATCTTCAATTCGATAACTAACTGGGACTGTGCCATCTACCACTTCTAAACCATTTGAGAGACCGGTGATATCATCATTGTGATCTATTTCCATTCTACTGGTAAACAAATTAATCGTCCAGTTTGCATTACTTGTATCATTTGATTTCAACTTATCTTCGCCTCACTCAGCATACCTATAAACATGATTTCCTGTTATTCGAACAATGGATAACTGGTCAAAGCAGTGAAGCTGACAATACATGTACATCAATAAAATAGTGCTCATTTTTGCTATACTGGACAGTTGTTTTCTAACCATCCCTAACAACTTTGTTATATCTTGGTGAATTTACCAATACTGGGCACTCAGTACATACATTTTTGGCCACCATCCTGCTTTTTTTTTCAAGAGTTTGATGTGTCTTGACATGTCTACCACT